GGGCGCGGCGCGCAGTTAGTGTTGGTGTGGCGGTCTCGTCGAGTTCTGGGCGGGGACCGTCCTTCTACCTCCTGTATCGGAGTTTTGTTAGTATCGAGGTCTCGGGAGTTTTGTGCGCGATAAATTCGTGCCGTCCGCGGCGAGCCGAGCCAGGCCACGGCGCTCGGCCTGCTGAGAGAAGACCTTCCCGGACGGCAGTGACAAGTTACCCGACATCAATCGTCGACGGCAAGCTCGAGAACTGCGCCTCCAAAGTCGCCCAGATTCGCCTCTCGCGGCGCGCTGAGTTAGTATCGCCGGTGCGCCAGCCAGCTCTGCTCCACAGCAGGGCATGCCTGACTGGCTCCTGCTAGCCGTGCGTCCTGGTGGCATCCATTGCCAGCTCAGGTAGCCTCAGGAGGTCGCCTCGCGCACAACTCGGCGCCGCACAGCACCGCTCCGCGTTACTACCGAGTTAGTATCGTCGACCCACAGAGACTGCTCTTCTGTAGGTGGAGCCGACAAACGCCGGCCGGGTCGGCCCCGCCGCCCCCATCGCCGCCGCCGGGGCGGCTGCGGCCTCGGCGGACCATCCGGCGCGCCGCGCGCCCGACGGGGAGGCGTTCACCACTCCTGGATCCTCACCCTGCCACGCCTTCGTGCAGACGCCGTGGCACCCACCTCAGGCGCCGCTCGGACTCGGTTGACGGCCGCCCAAGTGCTTGGCTCGTGCCCAGCCGACCGGCAGGCGATGCCCACTCGCTGCTAGGCTAATCTCGGGCTGTCTTGCGGCGGTGTGGTGCCGTGAAGGGCACCCGGCACAAAACTACGATAGTTAGTACCGTGCGGGGGCAGTGCATTTAATTCTGTCAAAAATCGAAATGTGCTCTGTGGGACTTATTGGGCTAGGGTCATACGTCCGGGAGGCCCCCCATGCGTGCCGTAACGAGCCACGGTGCTGGTATGACTCTGTTCACGTTCACACCTCTTCAATAGCGCAAAACTCCGATACAGGAGGTACAGCAGTCGTCTCATGTGATGAGGTGGTCGCGGAGCGGTCGCCAGGACCTTGGTAGTGCCTGCATCGCGTGCGCCGGCCCTCGGTGAGCCCTCCCGAGGCCTCTCACGCCGCCAGCCGGGCACGGCAGCCGTTGCGGGATGGTGCCCTCGCAGCTCGCCGGCGCGGCGGGGGCGAGGCGAGTCTCGCCGGATGCGCCCGACAGCGGGAGCGGCCGGCCGGCATCCTGCCCGCCACGGCGGCGGCAAGCTGCGACTCAAGGACAAGCAGGTGCGGCGACTTTTTGCTCGCTCGCCTCTTCTCTTGCGAAGCGCCGGTACGGCTCTATTTCCGCTCGTGGTCGCTCTTCAGTGTGCCAAAAGCCCAATGTGGATTGGGCACATCTACGATCTAGCGCACTAGCGGTAGCGGCCCAGGCGCTCTCGCCTCTCGCTGACACACATTCTTAGCGCATAAAATCGACACGCATCCAACATGCAAGCACGCCTGCGTCTCTAGGCTACAAGCTCGACTCACCGAGACCGCGACGCATCACGTTCGACGACTGCACGGCGTGTCAGCCCTCTCCCGGCGGGACGCGCAGCGTGGGTGTCGACAGCTGCTTGAGGCCGGCGATGGTCGCCTGGTTCTCGGCGCAGCCCTCCGTGAGGTTGCGCACAGCGAGCAGCGCCCACTCGCGGACGAAGGGCTGCCTAGGGTAGGGAGTTGCGGGGCAAGGGTGGGCTACAGCCCACTGCAGCTCCACGCCCCGAGACTGGCAGGAGCTCCGCTGCATTGAAGATGCAAGGTGCGCGTGTGTGTTGAGTGTGAGTGTGTGCGTGCGTGTGAGTGAGTGAGCGAGCGAGTATGTCGTTTGTGCCTCTCGTCCAGCTTGCAGCGCTGCAGCACGGCGGCCAGCCCGCCCACCTCGCCAGCCAGCTTCTGGCAGGCGTGCCGCCGGAAGCAGAGCAGCGCCAGGAGCCGCACCTGTGACAGCAGCCAGGTGTGGACAGAGAACGAGAAGAGGTGTGTGATGCGGGAGGGGCCGCACCAGCTCCAGCTCCGCGCCGCGCGTGTCGACGGCCGGCGGCGGCGCGGCGCTGGTCGGCGCGCCCGCCGCGTCCTTTGGCGCGGCCAATCCGGCGGGTGGGTTCCACTCCGCCATCGCCGACAGGACGGCCACGACGGGCGGCACGAGCCCGAGCGCGGCGGCGTCGTCGTCGAAATCGGAGAAGGGCGTCTCGAGGCGCGCGGCGAGGGCGCACACCGCCCGC